GCATATATCTGCTTGGGTGGCAGTTATGGTTTCTTTAGGGTCCCCACAGCTTCTTGAGGAAAAGAAATAATAAGATCAAATTTGTTTTTTGAAGTGGCTTTAAATTAATTTGAGAGGAAACTCAAGATTGTGTTTTCCTTGTCTTGGACTTGTTTTTATTTTCCCCAGCTTCAGTTTGAACTTGAACATGAATAATTGATTGTCTCTTGTACAGTTATCCTTGTCTTTGTTTTGACTGCAGATATTGAGCTTCTCCATTGACTCTTTGCACAGATACAGTCAATGTGATTCCTGTGATGTCTTTTAGTTGAAATCTATCTGTATAGTCACTGTTGTTTTTTGGGAAAAAATTGCAATAAATTAAGCATTCATTTGATCTCCGGTTTCATTTCTGTCACCAAATATCACAACTTCCAACTACCATTCTTTCTTCTTTGTTTCCAACTTTTGCATTCCAGGCACCAAGTATTATTAAGACATCTCAATTACATATTCAATTAATTTCAGACTGCAAAAATTGGTAGAAGTCCTCAATGTCTTCACCTTTGTCTTCATTGATTGATGTATATATTTGAATAACGAGTCTTCCTTGGTTTTGTATGGATAGGATCTTATAACTGACAGGACTGTACTTCAGGACTTATCTTGAAATGCTCTTTTTGCTGATGAATGCCACATCAATTCCTTTTCAATTTATTGTTCCTGGCAGAGTAGATCATACGATTGTCTGATTCAGATGGAAGTCAATTCAAGTCTTTCTCAGCTTACTCATGCCTAGGATGTCTATCTTTATGTACTTCGTTTCAATTTTGACACTTTCAAATTTTCAAGATGTACACTTAATATATTCCATGTTCCAATTACGATAGAAAATTGATAGAAACTCAAGTAGAGTTTGCTACTGTCTTTGACAAAATGCTAACATTATCTGACTCTTACTCATCAACAACATGTGGTTTGGGTTTATAAAGGTGTTGGTAAAAACAAGGCCTGAGCAGTGTCACTAAGACTGAAACCTGAAAACATTGACAAAGCCATCAGGGCATGCCTGCTGGTTGGCAAGTCTCCTTCTGACAAGCGCGCAGGTTTCAGCTTTAGAGGAACAAAGTGGCTGGCTTGTCTTTGGAAACGCTTATGGATTTGTAGAAATCAATAAGGTACAATGATATGTGTTGAACTCACTTCTAAACACAGCTCAGCGAAAAGCTTCTAAACCTGTAAGTTCTCAGTAAAATGGCAGTCATCAGAGAGGCGATGTGAACCCCTCTCTGGACCCTGGACCCTTGACTTCCAGAACAAGGAAGCTCTGACCTTAATCTTCTCTGCAAGCCTCACCCTCTAAACAAATCTACAATTTCTTCAAGACTATTGTTGTTGCTGTTGTGTGCCATCGAGTCGCCTGTGACTCATAGTGACCCTACGTACAATTAGCTCTAAAACTTGCGCTTTCCTTAGCCAGTCTTACTCTCTTCAACACAACTACTCCTATTACCCCAGTCACTGAGTTAGTCTGTCTTATCTGGGATCTACCTCTCCTGTGCTGACCCTCCACCCTTCCAAGCATGATGTCCTTCTCCAGACTGATCCCTCCAGGCAACATGTGCAAAGTATGTGAAACAGAGATTCAAAATCCTTGCCTCCAGGGAGCAGCCTGGTTTCAGTCTCTCTAGGACAAACCTGTTTGTTCTCTAATTCCTAGCTGTTCAAGCCTTGCATATATCCCGAGGTGTGTCAGACAAGGAGAATCACATATATTTTTGTTTCTTAAATTATTACTAATTTTAATGAACATTTACAGAGACTTTGGATTTCCATTCATTCATTGTTGCATTTTTCTCCCTGACCATCTCTCCCCCCCCAATTCGCTCTTCTCTTCGAAAAGTAAAAGAAAAATTCTTTCATTGTTGTACAATCCCTCCCCCCAAGTCCACTGCACTGTGCAGCCTTCATTCTGCACTCCTGTCATGATAATAATACTTAATCATATATCTTTTTTAAACAGTTTTCTCCCTCATCTGTTTCAATGCAGTATACATTATTTATTCCCTCTGAGAATTACATATATTTTTGACATGTTGTCAGGAGGGTCAGATGTCCTTGGAAGAAGACATCTTGCTTGGACAAGTAGGTTAGAGAAAGAGGAAAACCAAGCAACTCTGGTGGCCCTGTGATTCAGTTGGCTGCTAACTGGAGGTTGGTGGTTCAAACCCATGAGCTGCTCTTGTCGGAGTAAGATGTGGCCATTTGCTTCCACAAACATGATAGCTTTAGAATGGTTTACTTCTGTTGCATAGGGTCAAACCGTAAGTTGGAAATGGATTTGACGGCTGTGAGTTTGAGTTTTAAGTGTTGTTGTTAGATGTCATTGAGTCATGTATGACTCATAGTGACCCTGTGATTAGCATGTCTGAGCCCTGCCTTATCCTGTGCCATCGTCAAAATCTCTTAAATCCTTGAGTCTACTGGTACAGCCACTGTGTCAGTCCACCTTGCAGAGAGTTTTCCTCTTTCTCTGATCTTCCACCTTTCCAGGCATGATGTCTCTTTTGAAGGACTCATCCCTCCGAACAACGTGTCATAAAGTTATGAGATATAGTTTCACCATCCTTGCCTTAAAGGAGAACCCTTACTGCAGCACTTCCTCCAAGATAGACTTGCTTGTTTTACTGATAGTCCATGAAATATTCAGTACTCTTCTCCAACACCACAACTCAAAAGCATTGATTCTTCTTTTGTCATCCTTATTTATTGCGAAATTTTCAGATGCATGAGACAGAAAATACCATGGCTTGGGTCAGGCGCACCTTAGTCTTTAAAGTGACCCTGTTGCTCTTTAGCACTGGGGAGAGGTCCTTGACAGCAGATCTTCCCTATGCAACATATCTTTCGATTTCTTGACTGCTGTTACCATGGGGGTTGATTGTGGAACCAAGTAAAATGAAATTGTAAACAAGGCCATCTGTCATGATGTTGCCAGTGAAGATTGTTGTTTTCTTGAGGTTGAGATGTAAGTCATAATGAATTTTCAATAAAGACCCATAAATTGACATCAAGTTAATCCAGACTCAGGGCAATATCACGTGTGTCACGGTAGAACTGCTCCATGGGTTGTTTTTGGTTTTGGGGGGGGACACAATTAATTCCATTCCATAGTATTTTTTTTAAATTTTTATTAATTTTAATGAACATTTACAGAGATTTTTGGATTTCCATTAATTCATTGTTGCACTATTTTCTCTACCCCCCCCCAGTTCATTCCTCTATTTCCCCCCCCTTGAAAGTCTGTTTTAACTGTCCCATTGCCACAGTGCTTGTCAAAGCCAGTTCTCATTAATCTCCTTTGTCAGTGTATCCTTTGCCATTCCCTATCACTCCTCCCTGAGAGAGACTTCACTTTGATTCATAAGCATTCCATAGGATTTTCATTGGCTGTGTTTCCCACAGTGGATTGCCAGGTCTTTCTCGCGGGCTATCTCTGAGAAGGCCCCAAACCACCAACTTTTCAGATAACAACTGTGCTCGTTAACCATGCCCTACACCCAGCGGCTTCTCTCTGTGTAAAAGGAAACTTCATCTCCTGGACGTGGAACATGTGAAGATGTAAATCTTACCTAACCCTTGAACATGACTTAAACGTACTTGGCATCTGGCTTGCCTGACCAGCCTTGGGTCTAGCTGATTCTGTGAATAAAGGTGGATTTTAACCCTCGGAAATTCCAGGGGACTTCCTTGCCTTCAGCCTTAGACACTCACAAGTCCCCAGGGTGTCTAGCCTCCGGCTGGCTGCTCCTTCATTCTTCCAGGTTTATGCACTTTTCTG